ATTATTTAATATAGCCGGAGATTACAGGATTACTGGTATTTTATTAGAACTGTTATTTCTAAGAATAAAAATTATATAGTATTAAAAAATAGATTAGTATTTGGTTTTTAGTCTAATTAAATAATAGAAATAATAATACTAGCTAGAAGAATTTTTATAATAATTTTTTTTAGATTTTTTATTAGCTATTAGATTAGGTTATTCTTAGATTTATAAATAAGATATAGCTTAAAAAACTATAAATAGAATCAGAAACAGATAGAAGATTAAGAAGTTTTATATATTATATATAAAACAGTTAGAAGAAGCAGTAAGATTGCTGGGGTCAAGAAGTAGAATAGGTGTATTAGGTCTGTACTGTGATAAAATATAAAATATATTATATATTATTTTTAAGTATCCGCGACTCCAACATCCTATTATTAAAAATATTAGTAGATACTGGTAAAAAATAAAAAAAATTATATAAAAAATTTATATAAAAAATTAAGAAAAATTTATATAAAAATAGACAAAAATATATAAAAAATATATAAAAATATAGAGAAAATATATAGAAAAAATATATAGAAAAAAATATTTAATAAATATAAAAAAATATATAAAAAATATAAAAAATATATATAGAATTCTATATAAAAAATCTATATAAAAATTATATGACAGTTATCAAAAAACATATAAAAATATATATAAAATTCTATATAAAAATCTATATAATTATTCTTTTTAATTATTTCTAATTATTTTTAATTAATTTTAGAAATATTATCATATGTATATATTAATAATTTCTAGTTATTTATATTATTTCTAGTTTTTTATATTATTTCTAATAATTTTTATTATTTCTAGTAATTTATTTATATAATAATACTAATTATATTTTATTTTTCAGCTCGCCAGATGAGTGGCTTCTAAGAGTTACTAATAATACTAAGAATTTTTAATATAATTTTTAATAATATATAGAAATATTTAGACCTCGCCAGATTTATTACCTAGCAAGATTATATTATTCATAATATATTTTAAAATACAAGCTTTTCTTAGTTTATTTTAGTAATTACCAGTAATTTACCTGGCTTTTTAAGCAACCTGGCGATCTGGCGACGTGCGACCCTCAAACAACCTCTGAAGCCTCAAATCGCCGTCAAATGTAATCTGAATTTCAAAGAAAAACACTGCAATCTTTTGGCCTGAGAATGTCATCAATGATTCTTCTATGCTGAGCACTATCTTTTTTCTTGTCATCTTCACAGCGTACATTGCCACCAAAACTATAGAATATATGTTCATTATGGTATTAGAACACCAAAATACAAGGTAACCGAGGCTGCAATCAGCGCGGTTATAGCGTCTGGCTATATGTATTGTGATTCTTGATTACAGGACTTACCGCGACTCGGCTTCAGCTTCTATACTTGAGTTTGTGCTTTTTCTTGCGAAAACTTGTTGCTAACTAGTTGCTTGTGCAGCAAGTAGTGAGCAGACCTGTTAAGGCTGACGACGGCCTTGCTATAAGCTAAATGCAAAGGTTAAGATTACTCTGCAACTATCAAGTGTGAATTCAGAATATAGTAGTGTATAACCCCATCTACTGTGCCAACTATCAAGTGCAAATTCAGGATATAGTAGTGTATACCCCCATCTACTGTGCAAAACCAGAGTAAATGATCTCCTTTGGACAATCATTGAGCTATAGCAGGTGCAAGATGCCGAGATCTGGGTCAAAACAATGATTCTGACGGTTTTACAACCTGTAGAATGACCTATGCATATACAAGAATGAGTGGGGCGCCTTTTGGCCCCCCTTACGCGATCTGTAGTGCTGGGTTCGAGTAGCCTGGGGCCGGCGACAGTACGAGTAAAATGGCTGCAGCAGATGCCGCAGCGGCGGAATAAGACAGTGAAGAGTGTTATGACATATTTTAAAAATGGAAAAAGTTAGATATATATATGAGAAAGATAGCACTTTAATCTCAAAATCTAATCCTCTTAATTAATCAACTTATGTTTGATTAAAAATTAGAATTAGTATATGTCTTTTGTTATCTGTAAAACGAAGTTATTTTGTAAGATGGAGGCTCGACGACCCTTCTCTGACAAGGGATCAATGGCAATGAGTAAGTAACTACGGAGTACTAAGTAGTTATTCAATCTCAACTTGAAACGATGCACCCCCATTCTTTAAGACTTCGTCCTATGTGCCAATAAAGACTAGCCACAAATTCTCCCAGCGGAAATGCTGTTGATGTTCATATAAGCACATGGCCATACATATTTGTTTCGCAGAGCGATCAGAGAGGGGTTGGATGGCAGTGACGTTTGCCTGGGGGCTTTTGCACTTGTGGGCTGCCATCGTTCGCCGTAGTTCACTCACTTCTTTGATCATGCCGGGAAAGCCCGACCCTTGGCGCCACCCGGGGTTAGTCTACGAATGTAAAAATTTCCAACTTCAACAATGTTCTACCGCATATAACTAATTCTTCAGTCATTACAAAGCTGTCGCCACATGCTCTTGTTCCAGTGCCTCTACCGTACCTCATCATCGGAAGGGGATTTTCTTTCTTTTCTTTCTATTTTCTAACTTTTATCTTGATTGATTGGCCTTTGTAGTTATTATCCTTTGCCACCTATTCGTAGTGGTCGGGGTGTTTATTAGAATCTCACCCGCCCTTCTCGCTGTTTGACTGTTGTCGTCGCCGCAGTGTCCTACACACGCTCTTGTGCACTTGATCTCGAAACACGGCCCAATTTTGTCCACTTGAGAACTGGAGTCAAAGTCTGGCCCCGCCGTCTCCTTTCCGTCATGAAGGTCTTTTCTTCATCATGCACATTTGATTATTCGTGGGAGGAGGTATCGACCGCAAACTGGCGCAAGTACTGCCCTTGGAATGACAAGTCCACACATGTCGTGGCAGTAGACACTCTTTCTCGAAGTGTGGATATCCAAACCGGTATAGTATGTGCCTTGGTCCCATTGATCCGGCTTCAGATTGAACCAGTATCACTAATGTCTTGGTCTCGTCTCAGCTGCGCACCGAACGTTTGATCACCTGTAATCAGTCCGTGCCACAATGGGTACTCTCACTATTTGGAGGCAGCGCTACGTCTCATGTATACGAAGTATCATATGTTGATCCAATTTCCAAAATGGTCACGATGTGCTCGACAAATCTCACGTGGTCGAATGTCCTCAGTGTCAGGGAAACCGTTGTCTACCAACCATCACTGCTGGATCCATCTTCAAGTACACAGTTCAGCCAAGAAGCGAAGATTACCGCTCTTTGTGGGGGTTGGCAGAAAATCAAGAACAAAGTCGAGGAGGCCAGTGTTGAACGCTTTAGTCAGAACGCGAAGCGAGGCCGAGAAGGATTTGAAGCTGTTCTGGAAATGAGTCGACGAGTCTTCAGTGAACAACGCGAGCACGACAAAAACCAACTCTGAATTGAGGTTCTCCTCGGCTTGACACACAGTCTATGGGCACAGCCAACCATTATCTTTTCAAGCGTTTGCATATATATGGCGTTCCTTTGAGTTCTTTCCAGCGTCTCGACTTCAGGGAATCTTTCAGCTCCATTCTTGCGATTTACTCACCGGCCCTACATTTTCAAACCGCTGTCCCACCAGTGTTAGTGCTTGGACTCAAATGCCCACCCGCCATTGCAAAGTGAGCAGCTTATATGGCTTGATGATGCATGACCTTTTCCCTACACAACAAAAGCAATAGAACGCTCTCCGGTCTACATTTCTCTGTGCTATTACAACTACTCATAATTGTCCGTTCTCACAAAGCGCATCCCTATGTATAATAATACAAGAATGAGCGGGGGGGCCTTTGGGCCCCCCCTACACGATCTGTAGTGCTGGGTTTGAGGCGAGTGGCCGGCCCCAGCCTATGGCATAGGGCTTCGGCGACAGTAAAATAGCTGCGGCAGATGCCCCAGCAGCAGAATATCGGAAGCCGGATAAAAATTTTTTTTATATAAGAATAAATAGAGACCCTTTGCCCGCCCCCACAAAATGTATAATGCTGGGTATAAGATAAGTTGCTGATTTCAGTCCACAGTATAAAGCTTCAACAACAGTAAAATAGCTGCTGCAGCTACTCCAGCAATAGAATAAGACAATATTAAAATAAGTGAAAATAAAAGTAAAAATTAATCAAAAATCTTCATTAGATAAAAATAAACAGAAGACTTTTTTGACTTTTTTTTAATATAATTTATAATGCTGGATTTATAGTATAAAACTTTAATAATAGTATAATAGCTGCGGCAGATACTGTTATGAACAATTCATTAAGTGGTAGGTAGTTATATTAAGAAGGTAGTCCATAAAGACTGGGATAGCTAAAGACAGTAATAAGAAGACCGCAGTCACCATAACGCAGGTGACACCCCAGGCAGAAACAACAGTCACCACCAATAACGGAATCAGTGACGGCCACAGATACTGCAGCAGTAAAATAGAATAATAAAAAATCCAAAAAAAATAAAATCAAAGACTAAGTAGAAATATATATTAACTGAAAATAGATAAAGAAGTACTTTAGTTCCTTTTATACAATTTATAATACTGGATTTCGAAAAAATATCAGCTTTAGTCTATAATATAAAACTTTAACAGTAATAAAATAACTGCAGCAGATACTACAACAGCAAAATAAAACAGTAAAAATATTAAAAACTAAACCAGAGGCTAAGTGGAGATATTCTTTAGATTTCCCTGTTGTCTTTGATATAGATTTATTGTAGAATCATCAAAGTTCGATGCGTGATATGACAGCACTATACTTTTATAATGCAAGCTCATCTTCACATAGCCTTTGCAAATGATCTTATTGCCTGTATACAGGCATGGCCTCTGATACCGCCACAAAGTCGGCGAAGTCATTCGAGAATCAATGGCTGATGAGAGATACTCCATCAGGTGCCGGATTATGTAAGGTACTTATTTGCTCAGGTACGCCACATAACCACTTCCGCGTGGTACCCCTCTAAACAGCGACATTCTGTCCCTCACTATTATTGCCTTTTCATTGCTAGGAATCGCATGTTGACTAGATGTGGCGATCGATCTTATATCACTAGCATTGAAAGACTAATTATTTAGCTCTGCTTTGTTAACCCATCCCTAACTCATTCTTAACCAATCCCTCCCTATCTCTCTACTCATCTGCGTCTCCAAAAATACACTTACGAATTCGCCTTAACACGAGTCCAATGTCCGAGAACATAGTTCCCCCAAAAGGAAAATGGCCGGTTGATCCCCAGGACGATTTACACATCTCAGAAGACCGTATATGGGTGGATGGTTGTTTTGACTTCAGTCACCATGGTGAGAGGCTGTAACGTCTCCTTGGTACCGTGTTCCCGAAAGCTGAGTTTCGTAGGACATGCGGGTGCCATGCTACAGGCCCGTAGGCTAGGCAGAGAACTTTATGTTGGTGTACACTCCGATGAGGCCATCCTAGAGAATAAAGGCCCAACAGTGATGAAAATGGAGGAGAGGTAAGTTAATCCTTGCATTAGTTCACTGCAGAACTTGACTGATCATGACCTAGAGTAGCTGCAGTGGAAGCATGCCGATGGGTAACTCGCTGCGTGCCCTCGGCTCCCTACGTGACTTTCCTGCCCTGGGTGTCACATTATGGATGCAAGTATGTCGTGCATGGCGATGACATAACCTCTGACAGCAATGGCGATGACTGTTATCGTTACGTGAAGGCTGCAGGCCGTTTCCGAGTGGTCAAGCGAACGCCGGGAATATCCACAACTGATCTTGTAGGACGCATGCTTCTCTGTACTAAAGGGCATTTCGTCAGAAGTGTGAAGGAGACGATTACTGGGAAAGAAGGCTCCGGTAGCGAGGAGGAACGCGCACAATCTGGTGAGAATCTGCTGCAGAGAATTCGCGACTACGCAACCGATGAGAGCGGTCTACAGCCAGGACCCTGTGTCTGGATCTGGAATGGTTCCACCTCAGCGAAGCTTGGAAATACGAGTGAAGAGTCGGGATCATTTGAGCAGATCGTCACAGGAAAGCTACCCAAGCCAGGACAACGTATTGTGTATGTTGACGGAGGCTTTGATCTGTTTTCTTCCGGTCATATTGAATTTTTGCGGCAGGTCATTGAGTTAGAAAGACTTGAGGGCCACCGTCAGCATTGGTATGATCCTGAGATAAGGGAAAAGAGAATTCAGGAATATGGTGAAGATTACGAGCCGGCATTTGTTGTTGCCGGCATTCATGATGATGACGTCATAAACCATTGGAAAGGGCTCAACTATCCCATCATGAACATCTTCGAGCGTGGGCTATGTGTCCTTCAGTGTCGAGTGAGTTTGAAGCCCACCTACTTCACAGGGTCCGTAAATCCGGAAACTATCTTGCTAATTCTCCTCTAGTACGTCCATGCCGTCGTCTTCTCTGCTCCCTTTTCCCCAAGCCAGTCGTATTTGGAAGCAATGCCTCTAGGTGCGCCAGATGCAGTTTATCATGGCCCCACCACGTTCATACCCCTCACCTACGATCCTTATGTCGCTCCGAAGAAGATGGGTATATTCAAGGAATCTCCGAGTCATCCCTACCAGCATGTCAATGCTGGGGAAATTGTCGACAGGATTTTGAAGAGCAAAGAGGCGTACGAGGCGAGACAACGTGCCAAAGTTGAGAAAGGAATTGTTGAGGATTTAGCGAAATCGAGGGAGGCAAGTAGGATGTGAGCCGCGGGTGGCATCCACCAAGGCTCATCCCGGATGGTGGATCAATGTCGATAGTCGGACGATGAGCAATTAGAGATGAGAAGAATATTGGACGTAGCTTTGAAGTCCCAACTTAGAGATTGCTGGTTTGTTGTGATGTTATGCACATATCTGGAAACACAGGGGGAATGTATCAAAGGTACCTCCCCACGCTGCTGAACAGCCCTTCAGGGTTTCAACTTCTTGAAGAGATTGTGAAGTTGCAGCAATAGAACATCAGCTTTAGGGTTCCGATGTTCTTTTCGGTGAGACGAGGTGGACGAACAATCTGCCGGGTTGGATTGGGGTGCTAAGCCAGAGCGCAAGGCAATGTACATACAACATAGATGATAATTAGGTCATGGTTAGTCGGCTGCCACCAGTACTCCCTTTTCTTCCAGCATTTTAGCAAGCTCCCCATTCTGATGCATAGACATCAGAATATCGCAGCCACCAATGAATTCCTTTTCGAGGTATAGTTGGGGGATCGTGGGCCAATCGGAATATTCCTTGATACCTGCAAAGTTGAAATTGGGATGAAATTAGCTGACTGCACATGCTAATTGGGCAGGCATCCACCTAGCCAGTCTTCAGAACATACCCTGACGCAACTCTGGGTCCTCTAAAACATTGAAGGCAACAAACTTCTTGGGATCAACGCCTTGCAATCCCAGAATTTGTATGCTGGCCCGGGAAAACCCGCACTGAGGAGTCTCCGGAGTACCCTTCATAAAAAGAACAACTGGGGCAGACGCGACAGCCTTATCAATCGCTGTCCGAGTTTCAGATGACAAGAAACGGGCATTGAGAATGAATGACAAAGGTGAGCCTCGCGAGCGAGGTTGGATTGAAGACGGCCGGGAGAGAAGCCGGAATGCCTGAAGATGCAATCTTTCTGTGAGCTTGGTGAGATGATAGAGTCAGAGCACTGTTAGGACCCACCGAGGAAGGTAGGATGCGAGAGAACATGATGGTTTCGAGATAATAGTATATATTATTTGCACACTTGCTTCAGTCGAGAATAGTTGGAAGAAAGTCTACGGATTTTGCGGAGAACTCCTGCACCGGTCCGTTAGCTAAGCATGCTCACTAACCAGCTCACAAGCCAACTCCGGTACGAGTTGTTAGGTTAATAGAACCAATCAACTTTGAGTAGATGACCAGCAACGACGATCATGGGATACGTAGCCAATCAAGATCATGTGATCTGACAGATCCACTGTCCTTAAGGACTAAGTAGGTGCAAGGTCATTTGAAACGGCTCAAGTCTATCCCCAATTTCGCACTTTCTCGAACAAAAATCCATTGGACTCTCACTTCATGGAATACTCTCCGCCACCACCGAGCGCGCAAACACACTTCCACGATGAGAAGATACACATAATTCTCGCGGCCAGCGGATCGGTCGCTACAATCAAATTGCCGAACATCGCTCAAGCGCTTAGTCGTCACCACAATGTGTCTATTCGTATTATCGTCACCAAGTCAGCGGAGCGCTTTTTAGATGGACAGAGCCTGGAACAGCCTTCATTAGAAGCTCTGCGAGCAGTCCCAGGTGTTGAGGCTATTTACAGAGATGAAGATGAGTGGAAGAATCCCTGGACTCGTGGCGAACCGATACTCCACATAGAACTTAGGAAGTGGGCGCATTTATTGCTTGTTGCGCCCCTCTCGGCTAACACCATGGCTAAGATGACCATGGGGATAGCCGACAACCTTCTACTCTCGGTGATAAGAGCATGGGATACGACCGGGATGGTGGATGGCAACTTGAAGACTAAGAAGCCGCTTATCTTTGTTGCTCCAGCAATGAACACGGCAATGTGGAATCATCCCATCACTGGCAAACAGATTGAGATTTTAGAGAAGGAATGGGGTGTGAATAATTCAAGCAAGGATGGCTGGGTTTCCGTTCTTCGGCCCATGGAGAAGCACCTTGCTTGTGGCGACACTGGCAATGGTGCCATGATGGATTGGGAGGCTATAGTCTGTGTCGTGGAGCAGTATATCGGTGTTCAAACACGAAGGCGTTCGAACATTACAGGGTGAGTTGGTCAATAAAGCCTGCAAAGGTACGGCTCGTTCTCTGAATTTCCTTAGCAATGCGACTCTGTGGCTTCATGATAGAAGCCAGTGCATTGCGCGATATATTCCAGGAGTAGCCCCACAGTGATACCGCCGCCAGTAAAGAGACAGCCATTTTTGAACCACCACCAGCAGTCCTGTACATTCTTTAGCTGAACTTTCCAGATCATCGCGGCAAGGGAAAGAGCTGCGCTGCCGCAGCTGCCGACAAAGAAAATAGGTCCACTACCAGCCGCGACGCCAGCTGCAGCAAGCAGCGATATTTGGACTCCTGCCAATGCACCGAGGACAGCTTTTGTATTTTTCTCGTGACGAAGAGCAATTGACTTGATGCCGGCCGCTACATCATCTTTTATGTCCATATGTGCATATATCATATCGTATAGAATTGTCCAGGCGACACAGCTAGAATAGAGAGCAGCAGCTGCTTCCAGGGCAGGAGTATTGTGAAGGAGGTCAATACCCAGTGCTGGAAAACCCATAATCGCACCCCACGAGAATGTAAGGCCAAGCACAGCTTGCGGGTAGTATGTGATACGCTTAGCGAGGGGATAGGTGGCCACCAAAAGCAGGCTAGGTATACCATACCAGAGGCATTGGGTTGGAAATTGAAGCAAGACACCCAGCCCTGCCAGGAGTTGAACGCCAGTAAAAGCGACTGCTTTGCTAGGGGAGATTGCCCCTCTCGCGATAGGTCGAAACTTGGTTCTTGCAACGTGCGGATCCAGATTCCGGTCCCATAGATCGTTGATCGCACACCCAGCACCTCGCATGATCAAGGCACCGGCGAGAAATAGACCGGCAGTTCCAGCAACCTCGAATGGGCCAGTGGAAGTCGTCATGGATGCAGCAAGAAGGGTGGAATATAGACAGGGGAAGAAAAGATAGTATGTGCCTGTAGGTTTATCAAGGCGCAACAACTCCGCGTATGGAATCCATGACCGTGGAAGAGAGGCTATGAAGCCCTTTTCCGGTGGTCTGTAGTGATCCACCGAGCTCGAACTTGCGCGACTCTGCGAGGTAGAAACGCCTGAGTCTTTGAGCCTGCACGTGTCATAATTTGATCTTCGACGGGATGCCAGAAAGACGTTGGTCGCTGCTGGGCTATTCTGGGGCAATGAGGAAGAGCGAGTGCCATGGTAGAAAGCGGATGGAAGTGGCTGGTGAAGAGAGGTGGCTCGCCCCGCGAAGCATCGACGCATTTGATTCAGGTAGCGCAGGGGTAAGCAAGACAATGGCATATTTGCGATTGCAGTCATTATCGGGAAATTTGAGAACAAAATAGATGGCTGTTATCAGTCAGTCATGACAGGAATTTGACTCTGGCACAAATCCGCTCGATCAAGACACGGAATCAAGGAGATGCAAAGGGAGGGAGACGGAAGGGTAAACAAGATTGGCTGGTTGGGTCCTCGTCCCTGAGTTCATCGCCTGGGTGTGTAAGTTGATAATTCCGGCAACAAATTCAAGCAAGCCTAGAAGGTCCATTCCGCTCGGTCCGCTCCGTACATCAGTCCTCCTCCCGCGCGTGCAGTACGACGCGCTTGTTATCTTCTTTTTGCTCTTCGTCATCTGCAACAGCCTTCTATGCCCATTCTCTCTATAGTCACACGAAGAGGGTCCACTTCTGCTGCATCCACGTGTGATCAAAAAGGGTAGGACCTCTTGAGCTCTGTTCATTTGTGCTGGAGCTGAATTGAACCATACTTCTCGTCCGTAACACCAGACCTTGCATCTTTGCTATTTTCAATAAAAAAAAACATGCTTTAAGCACTTGGCGAATATGCGACTTGTCTACCTATGCTACCAACATCTTCATGTCCAGTTTTTTCCTCCCCCCTCCCTGAATAGTTGAGACCCATATCAACATATCCCGATCGTCTTTCAGAATGCCCGCACAGCGTCCTCGCGCGGCTTTTGAACCGCTTTCCCCAGACCTGGACCTAGAGGCTTTAGTGGAATCGACACCGAACTTCGAGTTTGTTACCAGGATTCACTGCGATGCTATCGATCAGAATGACTTGGATGATTTTGAGAAACTTGTTGCACTTCAGGTTGTTCGATTGGGCAGACCGTTGGTCATTGAGGGTTTTGAGAAAAGGCTGAATCATACCCTTTTCTCCGAGAAGTGGCTCAGGGGCCATTATTCTGCAAAGAGTGAGTAAGCCTGGTTGCTCAGGAGTCTTGAAATCCCAGCTGACAACATGTGTCGTGTCAAGCGGAATATGCGCGGAATTTAAGTACAAAGACCGACTTGCCTCTGACGATTGGACATTATCTTAAAAATATGCCGCTTCTTACTGATCAATGGACACCATACAACTACAAAGACCCTGATCGGCAGCGGATATATCTGAAAGACATTGATTGCCCCCCCGAATGGCATGATGAATTGAAAGAAGTCATACCGTCGCCGGTCTTTTATCTCAACAAGGCCCACTCGAACGCTCCGGTGGCCAGAGCTGGTGATTTGATGAGCTGTCTTCCTCTAAACGCACGTGCAGAGAATCTTATGTGCTACATCGGCCATGAGGGAACCTATACACCAGCCCATCAAGAGATGTGTGGCAGCCTCGGCCAGAATATAATGGTTGAAGCATCTGATGGTTCAGCTGAATATGGAAAAGATACTAAGCAAGGATCTTCTATCTGGTTCATGACGGAGAGCAAGGACCGCCGTGCTGTCTCGAATTACTGGATGTCCACGCTTGGTCATGACATTGACATCGAGGACCATTTCGCACAGATAAACGCTTGGAAAGCAGCCCCATTCAAAACATACGTCGTCGAACAGAGACCAGGAGATTTCATTCTCATACCGCCTCTAGCAGCACATCAGGTGTGGAACCGCGGAACGAGGACAATGAAGGTTGCTTGGAATCGGACCACCGTGGAAACCTTGGACAAGGCCTTACATGAAGCTCTACCTCACGCAAGAATGGTTTGCCGGGATGAACAATATAAAAACAAGTCCATCGTGTTCTACTCGCTCGAACACTACTCCGCCGTCCTTAAAAAAGCCCAGAAATCCGACATAAATCGCCCGACCTACAAGAAACTGATCAAGGATTTCCAGCAGCTCTTCAGTTTGTACAACGAGGTACTTCTTTCTGAATGCTTCGGCAGCAATTTACCCGGACAAGATGTGGAGTTTATTCCTTATGATAGCAATATCACATGCTCCTACTGTCGAGGAAATATCTTTAACAGGTTCCTCACTTGTCCAAATTGCGTTACTCCATCTATTTCGGATGAGGACGACGCGTACGACATTTGCATGGAATGTTATGCGATGGGTCGAAGCTGTCTTTGCATATCAGCCCTCAAATGGGCTGAGCAATTCGATTGGAACGAACTCGAAGCGAAGCATGAGGCTTGGAGGCAACAACTCCTCAAAGTCAAGTCAGAACTTGAGCAGACATGCTTACCTTTGGATACACAAAGAGAGCGACTGAACAAAAGGACGCTGGCTGAAATTTGCCAAAAAGAGCTAAGTAGGCGGCCTTGGGTCGATATCAGCAAACCAATCGTCCAGTCAGAACCTATGGAAGGGAAAGATAGTGACACGGAGGAGATCGTCTCTGCACGCAAAAGACGAAAAATGTCTCGGGGAGATCAAACAGAGAAGGTTGGTCGGTGTCACATTTGCAGGTATCTTGAACCACTGTGGAAACTTGCCTCATGCACACATTGTGGCAAGTACTATTGTTATGGAAGTCTCTATAGGGCTTTCAACATGCTTCCGCAACAGACAATGGAGGTTCTGGATTGGAAATGCCCTAAATGCAATAAAATTTGCAGTTGTGCTGCCTGTCGCCGGGATCCGACGATGCGCCCTTTCGAGCCCACATGCATGTTACTCGGCCATGACACCCGGAAAATTGCGGATCCGCGTAGCGTGGAAAGTCTTGTAGACTTCCGGCATTCGAATCTACGCTGGTTAAAGAAGGCTGCGGAAGATGAGACCGATGGACCGAAGGAGCATCAGCCTCAGCATCACCAGAATGAGGATGAACAGCACAATCAGCTGGCACCTGGGCAGGGCATCCAACTAGAGGAGTCCTCTACAGTCCCAGAATCTTCGACAGACTATGAAGGCATTCCGGTAGATCCTGCTCTGGAGAGATTGCTGCTACCTGAGGGTCGAATGTCTACACCGTCCGGTAATTAGTTAATATGAATTGATGAGCGGACATGAGAACTTTCGCATGTCGGATACATTGGTAGCAAGTTGGGTTCTGATATTGGTCATTCAAGCGAGCGGTATTCGTTTCTTTCAAGCCGATTTGTTGATAACGCGAAAAAGACAACTATTATGCTTCTCAACCTTGCAATAAGAAACAGACATCAGTGTCATGCTTGCCTAGTGGATGCGCTCGTAGGTATTGCCTCTTGGTCGGCCAGCCAGGAATGCTTCCTCAGTCTCGACACAATAGCGGGGCGCATTAGGCCCCTTTGTAATTGTATCGAAGAGTCTCAAGATCCTTGATGTCAACGGACGACATGACCCTGCTCGCGACCCAGACAGTCGCTAACATTGCTAGGTAGAATGAGCGACACCACTCTTGACTCAGGTACGGGAAATCTGGCGAAGTACTAACCTCCAGGAACCGAGGATGTAATCAGCTCGGTGCTGAACCACGATTCTTTGGATGTGAATACAAAGTGGATTAGCACTAAGGATACGCAGCTCGCTGCATTGACGAGTGGAAGAAGTTGCTGGGCTTGGGTGTGGCCATTCGAGTCCACCATGCGTCTTTTGCCCTTGCTATCGTGACGTCGATGCGGTAGATACCTCATGATGTGGGCGGTTGCCAGCAAGGACAGTACACTCACAAGGGCTACGCACCGGTCAATAGTGGCAGATGAACTGGAGAGCAGTGGGAGAAGATAGATGGCCGCGGACAAGAGGGGGATGGCGGCGAAGATAATCTAAACCATGAATGACCATGTTTTTTAGCGGTGTCCGCCACGCTTCGACTTGCCATGCTTAGGAAGGGAACCTCATTACACTATATTCAGAGTTTCGCCTGTCGTTGAGTAGTTTGAGGGTCTGGATTACGCACTCTTGCTCTGCAGTTCTATTAGTGAAATTCAAGCGTCGCAAGCTCTAAGCCAGCCTTCCTCGCTGGCCAATCGATCACACAGACCTTCTTCATCCAACTCTTCGCGAGCATACTCATCATCTCCCAGATCATCTGGATAGCGGAACGCGCGCCGAAGCCTGGCAGACGCCATCATTTCTCAGAGTTCGGAAGGACCCAATTTTGAGAGGGAAACTCGAGACACCTTCAATGGGCTACAGAGTGATCCAGCGACTCAGTGCGGTCAGGGCCAGGCTCACTTCTGATGTGTTGCTTGAAATACAGTACATAACACAACTAACCGGCTTAATGTTTCGGTATAGTACTTTACTTATCTAGTATGGTGTAACTACAGTACGGAGGATAGTCAATCGCTAATGGCACTGACTGTAATTCTTACGCTACTGGAACTAAGCCTTCCTTAGTAGGCGGTAAGCCACATGATTTCCCGTATAATTATGTACAGTACATACCAATTTTAATATAGACCCTCATAATCCTAATGAAAAGAATAAAAGAAAAAGACTCCCTAATAAAGGGCCCTACTAGTAATGCCTTCGGCCTCTAAAAATCCCAGTAATCCCTAATGTGAGACGATTTTACCTTGGACTTGACTTTTCGAATATCAATGCCGGTAGTAATAGAAATTCAACCGGTGTTAATAGCCATCATCTGTACGGAGTAAACTGGTTTGCTTCGTTTGCTAAGCTTGCTTGTCTTGGACTTTTGGGCCCGCTGTCCAAAACTCCCGAGGCCAAACACCCTTTCGCAGTTATCTCAGAACTCTTTACGCCTCCCAACCCTAGGCCTGTCGATGAAATAAAAGACTGCATTTATCTGGCGGGATTTTGACTGTCTTGAGAATGTTGTTACCCACTGCAAGATGGCGCATTGGCGTCCCACAACTGCCTGGCGCTCGTCGCCGAGCTCTTCCTCCTCGTCGCAGCTTGATCCCTGCCCCGCGCTCCAATTCGGGCCCTCTCATGGAGCGTCGAGCAGATCGAGAATTGCCGTCTGTCAACAGCGAGAGCCGCTGGCTCCGCACACTGCCACTCTTCGCGGTTGTTGTGGGCGCGGCTATGCTGGGTATATTCAACTATCAGAAGTCATCTTCAAGCGTGGTCAGCAGCACACTGTATGCCCTGAGGACCTCGCCGAGAGCCCGTGAGATTTTAGGGAATGAGATCTACTTCGCTCAAAAAATCCCATGGATTAGTGGTGAAATGAATCAGCTACATGGACGCATTGATATCTCATTTTGGGTCAAGGGAACCAAAGGGCAAGGCAAGATGAGGTTTCGGAGTATTAGACCCAACCGCATGAGCTACGTGCGTCCCTCAACTAAGACCTCTTTCCCCTCGAATGGCAAATGTAACTTAAGCTAACCAGCAATTGCATCAGTTTTGCACAGAAGAATGGAGCCTGGAAACAGAAGACGGAACAGTGGTGCAACTCCTTGACAGTGATATCGACCCGTTTCGGCAAAGCAACTAGGGAAATAATGCTGAGGTTGTGGCGTACATTGTATTTTCTATGTGGTACACGGTGTCTGGAAACTTTATTTGTAGATATTTTGAGATCCATGTGCATTGTGCTCAGGCGTTCGGTCATTGGAGGGCTTCTCTGTTCTTTCCTTCGCCACTCTTTCGGATTTCGACATAGAGGTTCATAGCACGGCAGGAACGATATGGAAGCAGCAGTTTTGAGTGGATGAAAGAGATCTGATCTGATATGGATATCATTTACATGTCAAATAAAAAATGTCGCTCTATGGAGGAAAAAATAGTATGGTGTTATGGTACTTCTCACGGATGAAAGAACGGTGAGGGAGATTGGCAATCGGAAGTTGGGCGGAGGGAGAATGCTTTCGAATTGGTTATCAAGATGATTTAGAGACCAGCTTGACTTTCGGCCAAGGCTTCTTCAAAGCATCCTGTATTCTGACAACGCAACCTTTGGGGCCACTGATGGAACCTAGAGTACAGAGATACACAATGATCAGTATTCGATGTCGCCCTACATTCACTCAACTGCAGGTCGAAAGGCCTGCCGGGGACGGCTGGTATGTAACTTACCATTAACCACGACAATTCCATTCTTTTGATCCACTTGAAGTATCTTAAGATTCTGCACTGTGTTCTGCTCATTTCCCATATTTCCAGCCATCTTCTTGCCGGGGTAAACACGGGAGCCACCGCCCTGACTGGGACCTGCGGAACCAAGCGAACGGTGCGTCAAACTGACACCGTGACTGCGATCTTGACCTCCAAAACCATGTCTCTTCATCACACCGGCAAATCCCTTTCCCTTGGAGTTTGATCGCGCATCAACATACTGGCCCACCTTGAACCAGTCGGCGTTGACCAATTTACCGACAGGCAAGAGGCCTCTCTCATCCTTCACCCGGAACTCGTATATGTGGCGCTTCGGCGAGATCCCGTTGGCAGAGAAGTGACCCAATAGCGATTTGGTCAGGTTGGCAGGCCTCCTCCAGCCAGCGCCCATCTGGACGGCAAAGTATCCATGCTTCTCCAGCGTCTTGTGCGAAACAACCTCAACTCGATCTAGTTGGAGGACGGTGCAAGCGATACGTTTCCCGGATGTCGCGTCGTACAGACCGGTCATTCCTTTCTTGATCGCAATCGCACCAGTGCGCAGGGGAAGGGTGTTAGCCTTGCGCTCCAAGGCCGCCGTGGGAGTCGACTTCAAAACAGGTAGACCCGGACCGATATCGAAGCGGGAGGTCTTCGGGGGGTTCAATGAGCGGATACCGAAAGTGCGAACGGGGACATGACCATGGACGGCGGAACGAGGGCTCCGGATGGAGCGAAAGGGAATATGAGCTAGCTGCCCGAAAAGACGAGGCGACATGGCGAAGCTTAGCCAACCAACGGGAAGAGCGGGAGCAGGGGCTTGTGGTGGTATCGCGAAGCCGTGATATGGAGGAGGCCGTCGTCCTTTTTCCCAGCCGAGATTTCTGGAAGGCTTGCTGCGGAGACAACCTCGAAGGCGGTGAGTAGCCCCGGCGGCCTGGCTGCGCCAGGCAGAGAGATGCTCCGGTACTGAACAACTCTCGCCAGTTTGTCGAGGTAATTACGGAGTACTCCGTACTTGGGTATACATTCAAATTACCATACATACAGAGCCTCTTCATGCAAAATTCCTGGCGGCCAAGTCGGTCAAACACCTGGTGGGCTGGCATCGGAGGCCGGATGCACCGGCACGCCGATAAACCGGGATAGATTGCTTATAGTAGCGAATAAATATCAACTACGTACAGTACCTCGATAGTTTCTCACTATCTGCGCCCGGAACGTCCTCAGCCAGCAATCTTTAATTCGGCTTTTTTTTTCTTAGGACGCCTAGCCTGCTGCGCGCCCAGTCACCTCATTCTGAAAATGCAGCCACGTCGTCCTTTCCTGTCAGGTTTGCTCTTTCAGCTTCCCGGCATAGCCAGAGGAAATTTGGCTATCCCGAAAACATCATCTGCAACAAATTCTATTGCCTTCACTCGCGCCTTTCGATCCTCCGCACCGCACACGTCAATTCTCCAGCGGCGGGCGATCTTCCCTCAATGGAAGCAGGCTCACGGTACTACTAGCGGCACCATACTTCCTTATTTTTACCGGCCTCAACAACCATTCCGCCGGTTCTTCCAGTCGTCCCGCGCAAGACACGCGGCGCAAACACCAAAATCAGGCGCTTCACTGTCGCAGCGGTTGCGTAACCTGTCGAAAGAGTATGGCTGGTCCGCCTTGTGGGTGTATTTGCTATTGTCGGCCATGGACTTTCCGATTTGTTTCGCCGCTGTTCGTCTGCTGGGCGTAGAGCGAATCGGCTACTATGAGCACGTCATCTTTGAGTCTGTCAAGGGGGCTGTGGATGCTGTCTGGCCGAGCAAGCAGGGTGCCAATGCAGACTCGGAACAGGACAAGAGCTTGACAACCGACACGGATACTCGGGAAGGTGCGGCACAGGCGCAAGGTAACGGCGAAAATGCTAGTAAGTGTCTTATGTTAAGCCCTTCACTCATTCAGGCTTTGGCAGTGACTAACTGTCATGGCTTTTCCAGGTCTATGGACACAACTTGCACTTGCCTACGCGATTCACAAGAGTCTCATCTTTATTCGAGTACCCTTGACAGCAGCCATTACCCCTAAAGTTGTCAAAGCTCTGCGACAGTGGGGTTATGATATTGTCAAAGGCAGACCGAGGGGCATGTAAGATCCTGCGATTTCTTGTGAACATCAGTCGGACTGGCGGATACACACAAGCATCCACCGTTTTCTTTGCTGCATAGCGTTCGGTCATGCTAGTCATGACATGATAGATAATTGTACACTATTTGGTATATTTAATTATTTGGGACAGAAGATTCCACACCTCAAACATTGAGGAATCAACATTCACGTCAGAACCTAGCCACCAACGAAAGTTGACTCAGAGATGTGAATGAGAAGGCACCATAGGCGATGGGTTTCATGCAGACAACCACAACAAGTAAGGCAGAGAAAAAATGTCAACGTGTACAAAATCATCAGAAGCGGCGACACACAGATCTGAATACATGAAGACATGAAGATGGCAAGGAGATCATAACCTGCCGCTATCCATGTTTGTCTCGAAATGGGTTCATCCTTAACGATGATAAGTGAACGAGATGCAAGGTTGCATGGGGAAGGCGGCCAAGGATGCCAGAGAGTCGATTACCAGTTCACATATCAATCGTATCATTGAACCTTAGGATGCCGTTGGCTTTCATGACACCGTTGACACCGTCTGGCATGCGATATGCCCAATCCGCCACACCCACAGGATCGGTAGTTTGCAAGACGTCCATTCTGTCAGGTTGGTTGGCATCGTCCGAAGTATCTGCCACCAACACGAGGCCAAGTTCCTTTATTGTATCCACCAAGGCGGGCACAACGTTCTACAGACAACGAGTTTTAGTCCCTAGCGTGAAAAGTCGACCCAAATGGTTGGGGAGGCAAGCACATGACAAGACAAATACATACCAGTAGGCTAGACCGACATATTAATCCCATGAAGTTGTTGCTCTGCGCTATTCGGGCGGAATCCTTAATGGACATCGAAGCTCGTCCGCTGCTGTTAACATCAGGAAGTGCGTTGACATCACGGGCTAAGTCCCGAATCTGACCAAGGTCATTGCAGAGTAGAACAGGGTCTCAAAAAGCGAGCTACATCAGCGTACTTCTCAGGAGAAATTAAGAAGGAATTGAGAGCCTGACTCACAGTTGGGCTGCTTCCAGTTCAAAGCAATGCAGATATTCGGATTGTAAGAGGTGAAGACCACAGAACGCATGATATCAGGGCTCTGGTCGCGCGCGATTCGAGCGTGGTCAAAAACTTCTGTGAGAATAGCATCCGCAAAAGTATTAACGTCCGGCAGGGAAGCCATATGTGATGCACGCTCCTCCATCGCCGACGGGTATAGCACGGATAAATTGACGCTGACGCTGAGCGGTAAATGATGGAAAACGTCTCGCAAAGACAAAAATGAGGAAGCTAGCTGACGATGAGCTTGGGCTAAGTCGTTCAAAGCAGACACCTGTAAAAACCGGAGCATTTCGAGATGATCCACACCGCATTCGACGCCGATTGCTCGAAACTGGGCGTAGGTAAGCTGACAGATTGGTATCTCAATGCCATGATACTCGATCACGAACTGGGGGTAAAGAACAGGGACCCGGTCTCGGGTCAACTGCACAAAGAGCTGAATGTGATCACCGGACAAACTAGAGCCTGTGACGAGACCATTGTGTTCATGATCAACAGCACTAGTCGCCTTCCAATATGTTGCGAAGTGGGTAATCTCTAGCGGGTCGCCGTGGTATGGTTTGATTACTTGAAAGTTGAACCGCAGTTGACCAATAGATCGTAGCCTGGGGTCAAATAGTGGTAGGGAACATGTACCAGTGCTGGAGCTTTCCGCTTTGAACATATTGGGAAGCGCTACCGTCTTCGCAATCACTTTAGACCCGAAAGTAGGGAAAATTTCGAAATCAACGGCGAAGGTGTCAAGGTTGTCAACATGGAAGGATATCATTCTCGAGTCTTCCTGTATAGGGAGCATTATGGTACGTGGAATCAGATCGGAGAGCTTGGAGGATATGGTCAGGCGTGCAGCAGGATGCCGACCTGCTTGATCGAACAGAATCGAGCCAGTGCTCCCTGGGTCAAACAAGATCTGAACGAAAACCTTTTTATCCAGGAAGTTGTGACCATACCGTCTCAGGGGTATGATTGGTGGCGGGAGGGACAGATCAGGGATGCCATCCGCCATATCCATGTTATCCGCATCTGTCAAATCATTCATACCAGAAGCATAATCATGACCCGAGTCCTGCAGCTTCCCGCCGTTCAGAAACCCAAGAGGCTTTTGCGGAGACTGTAAAGTTATGCTATGGGACCAAAGCAGAAGCATACACTCCAAATGGCCCTCCCACGCGGCGTAGTACATTGCGGCAAGACATTTCTCATCCACAGCACCAGCATCAACGCCCAGTTCCAGAAGCGTACGTAAACAACCCACACAGCCCTCGCTGGCTGCATGAAATAGAGGTGTCCATTGGTACAGTTTATCACGTTGGTCCATGTTAGCTCCGTGTTGTTTGAGGAGAAGGAGCAGTTGCGGAGACTGGGAAGCTCGTGCCACCATGTGTTGGGGGTACAAGCCCTCTGCATCGGGAAGCAGCCTCGCATCGCGTTCTAACAGCATTTGGACGATTGGAATTGATCCATACTGACAGGCGAGATTCAGGGGGATATGATCCGACTCAGAATTTGGGTCGATGCGGGCATTGTTGCAAAGCAGTTGCTCCGCACAGGCCAACTGATCCTTAACAATGCTGTGAATCAAGGGCGTGAAATTGTCATGGTCCATCACATCAATTGTATGAGGTCCGGCCTTCAGCAGTTCCCGTACCATCTCTACCCGACCATGCATACAGGCGTAGTGTAGAGGCAATCTACCGTAGACATCACATCTGGAAATATCGACTCCTGCTGTTAGTCCTGCCTTGAGAACAAATTCCCGACCGGAAATGGCTGCTTCGTGCAGGCAGTTGCGTTCATTGATATCATCTTCAGCATTTATGTCAACCAGGCCACTTTCCAGGAGCACTGCAAGCACTTCGTCAGAGAATTCATTGATGGCGGCGAGGAAGGTGCGAGTGGCACGAATTGAAGCGTCCGGGGATGATTGTAACTTTGCTGTCCATTCACGTAGCGCCTGAAGGTTCCCTGAACTGGCTGATTGCAGGATTTGTAGATCGAGATCTTCCTCATCTGGCCCGAACGATTGCGAGGCTGCACTCCTATCCACTGGACGAATGGTATCAAAATGAATATTTTCGCCTTCCGCCCATGCTTCTAGCTCCAGCCGTGCTGTTGTTGCTCGGTCCGACAGATCTCGCAAAACGTCTCTATTGAAGCATGGCTGTACTTCAACAGCTCGGTGAAGATATAATTCTTTCATGCGAGACTAGAAATTCCGCACATGTAAGCAAAAGCATGGTAGTACAAGGCTGAATGCAGCGACTGCGCCACGACGGAGAAAGGAACTTAAGGAAAGATCAGGTTGTTCAGACCTTGGAAGTTTTATCCCACTATGACTACATGGTTAGCTGATTTGAATCGCAGATGGGCGCAGTTTCCAGTTGGAGACGCACCTTCTTCAGAATCTTCGACATTGCCGTCTCGTTGATTTCAACAAATTGCTTCAAAAGATTGACGATTTGTCAGAATAAATCATGTGCAGCCGCAATGCCAAGTCAAAGCTCACTTGTAATTTATTGAGATCACCATCGAATTGCTGAAACCCCTCGAACAGCGAGACATAATTTGCCGGCGCTTTGGAGTTTGTCACTGCTCGCGATTGAATGACCCTTTTCTTGTCGACTAGGGTTTTCAGCCGGAGTGAGAACTATGTGCTGCCATCAGTCTCCCATGGTTGTCACAAAAAACACTACATGGCATCAACGTACCTCGGCTTCCTTCTGTAGATAGAAGGCATTGACTTTTTCAATCTCCCGTTCCTGGATTGTGCGGTCAATCAGAATGTCTCCACGGCCAATTCCAGCACGTATCCCTACCAGTCGAAAGAAGAACACCTCTTTATTCGCCCGCAGGGCAGCTTGCGCCTCAGGAACATCTTGCGCTGCACCTGCGACGCTTTGTGCCGGGATGGTGGGCGTGGCGCTCAATTGTTTGATTAGCTATCACAGGTGATTCAGTCAACCTAGCTCTCAGAGCAGCACGCAGAGTGGAAAAGTGGATTATGCAAAGCAAGTGGAGAGGCTTGACCGACCTTCTTTAACGCTTTATAGTTCACGAAGCTTGCAGCATATTCAGGGAGATCGAGCTGTCTGCGCTGAATTTGTTTGCCGAACTTCCTTTTTCCCGAATCATCAGGGTCGGCACAGGGAAGGGCGCGGGGCGAAGGAAAGGGCATCAGACTCGTAGGTGGATCCTTACATCTTAAAAGACGCTGCGCTGCGCTGCGCAGGACGTAGCGATGGCTTGGAAGGGCCTTTGATGCACTGGAGTGCCGGGCGATGCTGAATCAAGCGGCACAACACAAGCTATAACAGTATTCGTAAGCCAAGAGATAGGTGAAGTAGAAGGCAAGCACGAATATGTCGGTCACCCCGAGCTCGAAGAGCAGTGGCTGATGGAGGCGATCTCGGGGGATGCCTCTACTCGAAGGAACGGTGACGGGATATACCAAGAAGGAAGAGAAAGAGAAAGGAAATAGAAGGGGGAGGGGGAGGAGCGAGAGGGGTAGGGGCGGAGGTGGAAAGACGAGCGACGGACAATGATAATGGGGAACCGAGACAGAGAGAGAGAGTGAGTGAATCTTAGCGGCACTTGTTTCAATCGGACGATTGTCTAGTCCCAAAGAATGACAGACCACCAAATGACCGTCGCAGAAGCAGCAGTGGTACCAGCTGTGCTCCGTGCTAATGGCCGTTTACTACCAACTGGGGGTAGAAGAAGTACGTAAAAAGTAGGCTTGAAGGGCTCCCGTCTGAAGGGCCAGAAGCACTGGAACCAAGGCGAGGGGGAGGGGGCACTCACACCTGACCTCGGGAGGGAGCACGGGGAAAGCGAAAAAGAAGACAAGAGAGGAAGGAGCAGTAAAGAGAGAGGGGGGTAGGAGAAGGAAGGGCCCACGAAAGCGAATCGTTGCTGCTTCCTCAATCAGCAACAGTAGGAGGTAGGAGGTAGTAGCTAGTACCTGCTACTCACTTAACTACCGTATTGAGTCTAAGAACCAGGTAAGTCTGGGCCCTGAGGTATTAGTACAGTGCTTGGTAGGGACTCCTAAGTCGCTCGGCACTTGCGAATGAGAAGATCAGAAAGGACTCGTGCCGGGGGGAGGCGCACGGCGGAGTGGTGTTGTTGACCGGCCAATGTCAAGTCAACGGTCAAAGTGGAAGGGTTGAAGTCAGTCAATGACCCATCATTGCATTAATCGATAAGTTCCCTTAAGTAGTAGGAGATGTGGGGAGCTCTGGGTAGCTGTTCCCGGTCCAATCACCGCTTCCAAGATGCCCACGTTCTTTCAGTCTCCCGTCGCGGATGCAATGCAGTGGAGTGTCCATCAACCTTCCTTGAATGATCATACACCTGCTGAACCTACTACGCATAGCACGGAGTGCAGTAGGGCACTTTTTAAGTAAGTCGGTACTGGTACTGTATGTAGGACCAAGTAATCCAACCATTTGTCCGAGTGAAAACCGATGGACTTGTCCCCTTCTTGGCTTGTTCCTAGGCGGTGACACGTGCACTGCACTGCTTTGTGCCACTTTTCTGCCATTTTGTCAAGCTACTTGTGCGGTACACATAGTTATGCCATACGTACAGTACTTCGTTCCCTTTCCATTACCGAGTAGAGTACAGAGTACGTACGTACATAGTAAACATGCTATTCCCTTTTGGTTTCATCTCCCCCGTTCTTTTTTCTTTTCTGGCTGGCGGCCGATCCTTGGCGTGCACTGCATAATAAACAGGAACTTGGTCGCATTCGGCCTAATGGAGCAGTAACTCGGTGCCTCGCAAACAATGAATCGACCACGCTCTCTACAGCTCCCTAAGAACAACGCCTGGTTCTGGTTGCGATTCCGGTTGCATGCTAGACGGCGGGCTATTGCTCTTCCCTTGTGGCCGATCATTCGGCGGAGATCTTGATATGCTATACTTCGGGAATATCGCATACCTTGTTGCTTACCAGGATGCATCAACTATCGAGCTTAAGGTGAAACCAACATGTTCTAGACATATGAAGCCACATTTCCTGCCGCATTCGACGATAAGGATGCCGAGGATGATGGGCAGTATGAGGAGACTTATTTATGGTAATGGAACCCCCCCCCCCCCAAATAACAACTGCCCCTACTTGAACGATGTTGAAAGCTACAGGCTTGTCACATACTGAGTTTGCGGTTGAGGCACACAGGTTGCAGCTTTAATCGAGCCAATAGAATTCCAGACCATATTAAGCAAAATTTAAAAATTTACCTAGGCAGAGCAAGAGTGACAACCATAGAAACAGGAAAAATATATTTGGGGGGGTAGGAAAACAACACAGTAGCCTTTCTGAAACGCAATGTCAAAGGGGGTGGCTGTGGAATTGTCATGAATGTACAGGTTGCAAGTGTGAACTGAGAAGGATTTTCAGATATCAAATCGACAAGGGGAATCAAGTGAGCACCACAGAGAACAGTGATAGTAAGCAAAAACATGGCCAATATAGTTCCAACAGAAAGAGTGTAAAAATATAATTGAAAGATAGAAGAAGGCAAGACAAGCCAGCCTGATGATGATACCTTGGCGACCTTTGCAAGATCGCAGGAATCTGTGATTTCGAATATTGATGCAGTCCCTTGTAGGTTGAGAGAAATGGCATCTTCGATAAAAAAAATTTCATTTGGGCAAAGAGACAAGGCGATGCTTGATTCTTGATCCCCCATTTTCTTGGCATAAAACTCAACCCACTTGTCAGGACCGCATGAGGTTGAGAAGCACCTTATACAGGCTGGAAAGGTGTGTAGCCAGGTGAGGAAGAAAAGGTACAATGTCTGAACCTAGAAATTCTGGGCAATACCGGCATTTCCTTGCCGGGGAAACACAGCGGGATTTTCAATCCGCGTGTTACGCCGTGCTTGAACATCCCGAATGACCGGGGGGGCACCGCCGTACGGACCGTCGCCATAAGCCCCATACTGCGGTTGAATATCGCTATAATATGGATTATCGTCATAAAAGCCACCGGCAGGGTGTGTGGCAGACATATGGCTTTCGTCCGAGGCCTCCGATCGGTTGGCTGCAGAGTATGCAGATGAGGCATTTGATGGACCACGATGAATATCGACATTCCGAGTGTTTGTCGCGGCTGCTGGAGCAGCACCAAGGACCCCGATCGGTTCAGTCTCGCCTAACGTACCCTGGCCCTCAGAGTACTGAATAGTCCCGTCACTCGGAGTAGTGGCATGGTGATACCCAGGCGCGCTTCCGGCCTCAGACATAGCTAGCCCGACCCCAGCGCTACTCGAAAGATTGGTCGATGCTTTCCGGCCTGCTGACGTGGTACCCCACCCGCGATACCCGGAGGTATCATCCTTGGGCTCAAAAGCACTTCCGCCCATGATAGGTGGAAGGGATGGATCGTTATTCGGGTTAAAGCCATATTCCTCTACCTCTTTTCTTCTTTCCTCCTCTGCCGCCTTCTTCGCTTTCCATTTCCTCCAAAAATAGAGGGCAGCCAAGACGATAAGAGCCACAGATGCGACAGGCACAACTACTGCGACTGCTATCGTGCCAGCTGCTGAAAGTCCGGAAGAGCTACCGCTGCTGGTACTCTTCGAAGTCCCTGTAGCCGATGAGCCGCTTCCAGTGATAGAAGCCCCGTCCGCCGCCGTCCCCGCAGTGGCTGTTGGAATCGATGTGTCCGTCGAGGTTATAGTGAGGGTTTCTACTCCCGTAGAGCCATTGGTAGGTGTTTGTGTTACGACAGTTGTGACGACATCGACGGTGCGGCTAGTTTCTGACGCAGAAGTGCTGGTAGGAACGGGATCTGTTGTCGTTGACGATGAGGATGAGGTTGACGTTGTCGATGTTGATGTTGATGTTGTTTGCGATGAGGTGCTCGTCGTCGTAGGTTCCGCCGGGGCTGTTGTGGTCGTCGAAGATGATGATGTTGAAGAGGTATAAGATGATGTCGAAGATTCGGTAGTCGTTGGCACTTGGGTTGTGGGTGATTCCGATGTTGAAGATGTCGGGACTGAAGTCTGTGTCGGCGTTTCCGGTTGAGTATCGGCCGATGTAGCGGCAGCGGCAGCGGCAGTATTAGCGGAAGTTGCTGCCGCCGCAGGTGCGACCGCAGCAGCTATTGCCCTTGAGTCAGTAACTTCGTGATGGAGCGGAAGGAAGGGAAGAGGAACAGTGCCCAACGCGATAGACGAGGAGCATTATGGGCGACTTCATACCGGAGGACGACATCGTCCAGTCAGCCTGAACAGAAAGGGCTTCCGACGCAGAATGAACGTGGATCTATTGGGCGGAGCAGTAGGCCAGGATATGGGACGAGCAGCGAAGCGTCGGTCACCAGGGAAGCCAGGCGATGACGCCAGAGCAGGCACCTTCACAGGGGGGAGGGGGGAGAGTGGGTTTATGCGATCGGAGAATTATCGAGTGTAGCCGTTCAAAACAGAATTGAGGCTGAGGAGCACTTGCAGCAAAGGTTGGCGAGTGAATCGTCTCGAAACAAATCGAGAAAAAAAAAAGGTGATGGTGGGCAATCAAGAGCAAAAGAGTGGATAGCAGAAGTCGGATTGCAGCGGACGTGCGCCCAATGGAAATTTAAAAAGATGGTCGGCAGATACAGTGAGACCAGCGCGTGAGTAGGAAAAGTTGACGGAAGACGACCTAGTCAATGGTCAGGGGAAGAGCCCGAGTCAAGTAAGTAGACTACGTAAGGTAAAAGGTCCACCGCGGTGCTAACCAAGGACGGCCGAGAAAGACGAGAGAGACGAGAGAGTGTGAGAGCGTCAAGAGAAAGGGTCGAATTAACTACCCCGGGGGGCAATGGATAAGAGTGAACTGAACCAATCAAAATGGCGACTTACCGATATTAAACTGGGTGCCATGAGACAGTTGAGAAAAGTCTCATATTAGACCAAGAATGCTAGGTGCATCGCCACCAAGTTGAGACAATTAGAGAATATGAACGAGTGACGCGAGAGGGAAGATACAGTAAGACGAGGAGAAATCAAAAGAAGGAGCAGAAAGGAGTGATGAGAATGAGCAAGGCGAACAAACGAACAAACGAGCGAGCGAGCAAGCAGGAGAGCGCGAGAAGAGAGGGGGAGAGAGTAGAAGGAAGCGGGGAGTCTGCAACCAGCAGCTTCATTGGCATTCAGGAGAGAAGAGAATTCGGGGGAAAACCACAGCACCCATGGAAAAGGTCCAAATACTTGGGTGGTGAGCCAGGAACGGGCGAAGAGATCTGAATTCGGTACCACTCAGTAATAACAATCATAACTACTTTGGGTAAGGTGGAATCAGCACCGCAGGCGCAGCACCCGTGACCGTGGACCACCCTGCCAGGTACCGGTTCCGTACCGTTTAATACCTCCAGCGACATTCTTTTGTCTGTGTCATGAATTGATGACCTTCGAGACCATCACGTCAAGGTTGCCGGGTGATTTGATAGTGTAACGGTAAGAGGGAACAGGTAGCCAGAACGAACTACGGAGTACTGGCACCTACTACGTAGATATGTACTGTACCTTCAAAGTTGTGCCCGGTACCGGACCTGACACTCTTCTCTTACCATTGGTAAGATTCCAGAATACTTACTTATCTTTGCATTGGTCAAACTTTTGTCCCCGCGCTAAATCGCGATTCGAGATTTACAATAGTCATACTCTGCTGTAGTACTGTACGAGAACAAGAAGTCTTTTGTTCATCATGTCTGTATGTACATGGCAACGCGTACGCACACCAAGATATAACTACCTCTCAGTACAGTATGTATGAGTACATCTCCAGTACATCCGATAGGTTGAAGTTGATAAATATAGCAACATTGATGTCAACGGTCAACCAGTCAGACCCGACCCGATCCGATCCACCCTGCAACCAGACTATGGTGTCAGTACTCCGTATCGTACATTCTGTCATTCTCATCAAAAGGTTGGTAGATGATTGTTTGCCCATCGACAATATCAATATAATCAGTAAATGCTGTGACGGTGGTTCTTGTTCCATTTCAATTGTCCACCGTTGTCTATGTTGCTGTAGACTACTGTACCTAGATATGCTGACCCTACCTTTCTCACTGGAATTATACCATGCCCTAACATCGACCCAAGTCTCGAGTATACATTACCGTGGTTCACACACCTGCTGGCCCAACAAGTCGTGCCCATACTTACATCTGCAGTAAGTGACCCTTCAACTTTTCTCGGCGAACAATGGTTCGCGTCGCATAATACATTAGTCAGACTCAGACTTGATGCTGTGACTGGCCGTCACAATGCCTCTAATACGCAGAATATTCATGGATCAATAAGGTCAGAACTTACAATAGGGATGGGACTTGACTTTGACAGAAATATCCCCTATCGATCGGGGAGGCAAGCAGCCCGTACGCAGAAGCTGTCCGCCGAGCCTGCTTCACCACGCCACCTTTCACTATACATCATCAATCTGGGGAGCAGATCTGCAATTCTACTTCAGAATAACCACGGATCCCTCTGTATGGACTAGGATTGACAGGACAGTATCGTCGAAATATATAACAGCTACCTCGAGGTCACCCCAACGGAGGCATGCCCTTGAGCATCAAGACCCATAGTTATCCTTCAGCGGGCGGGCCTGATTGTGTAATCTACAGCCAATTTTCACAACACATCGATGCAAGTCTTTCAGGGTGACAATCACCTCAGACCTTCAATGTCATGAGGACAATACAGTCCAGTCAGAATACTTATATTGGATACCTGCAGGTTAGCAACCCACTTCTAAGATACAGCATATGTGCAAGTAGTAGATGATAAAACAAGGCCATTGAGACCGAACGCCCAAGGGAAGCGAGATTTGAAATGAACAAGGCTTCCTTCATAGATTCTTTACGCCACTGACGTCAAAAATCGCAAGTTGACCCGGATCCCTCACGAAGAGATACCGTGATGTTTTAGGAAACGGGAAATAAGTCGTGACAAGGTAGGCGGATATCCAGATGAGTGCAAAATCCTGGAGATCATTACAGCGAGGGGATTATTTGATGTGTTGCAGATGAGTTGGCACTCCGACTATTGCTGCATATCCCATTTAGGGCGAAGGTTTGATATCAAATCATCCTTGGTGCCCACGGTGCCTGGGGGTAGGCGGCTGACGCGATATGCGCCATTGCGGATATTGTGGAGATGGGCTGACGAGATTCCGGTATGGTTGCTGCGGATGCTGCCGGCATCGCTGCCGGCATCGGCGTTCTTGAATCGCGGCGGGGGTGCAAAGTCCAGAGTGTCGTAAGCACCAGACTTTCGCAAAGCGTGCCTGGACCATAATCAGTACCACATAAATTCCCGCATTGAAGCACGACAGAACGAGATAGACACTTACGCGCTAGGTAAGGGCGATAGATCGTCAAAGGCTGAGACGAGAGGAGAACGCGCTGGGGTCAACGGGCTGAAGGGCTGGAGGCCACCTAGAGGCGTGTCTGGTCGGCCTTCCCTCAAATCCTTGTAGTTCTTGCTGGGGGCATAATCAATCGCCGTCATTATAGATTCGTCTTTCAGCATGTGGGGCGTGGGGAGGATCTGAAGTGGCGATGGTGGCGGCGCCGGCTTTCGGGGCTTGGGCGGACCTGGTAAGCGGCCAGAGGCGGATGAAAATGCACGCAGGCCAGGAGAGTTGAATCTATCACCGAAGCCACCGTCTGAGCCAGTGGCCATGTGACGAGCGGCACCTTGAAAGCGCGGAGGTGCACGGGGTGGCGGTGTCATGGCACGGCGGGTGACTGGCTCCGCGAATGGTGCAGGGACAGGACTGAAATGCTCTCCGGTGGAAGGATCATAAACATACCCGCCCTCAGCAAAGGCTTCAGGGCCAGCTCCTCCGTAGTAAGTGTCGCGTCCAGTACGACTTTCGTCGAAGTACTCCTTGTAGAATGACCGAATACGATTGGCACGCTGTTCAGGGTTATCAGAAGGGTCCTCTGGCGGCAAAGGTCGAAGACCGAAAGTCAGCCGGCGCGTGTCACGGCGGTGGTCAAGACTAGCATTCTGGACTCGATCCGACGCGTCATGACCCTGGAAAGGATAAGGCACACCCTCGGGGTTGCTGTGAGTACCATATCCTGCCACGCCATGCACATCGACTGACGGGATCGCATGACTGGACTCTGCGTCTCCGTAATCACTAGCCGCATCGCTCACTGGGAGTGATATCCGAGGAGTAGGAGTCGATGTAATCTGCGCAACGTGCGGAGTTGTTATGATGGGAATTGAAGCGCGCAGCGGGGCAGGCGCATCCTGAGCAGAGATCGACCCTTCTTGCTGGGCAACACTACTGCTAGGCAGAAACAATTCCGGATCTTGTGACTGCTCCAAAGGCGCGGAGGACAAGGTCAGCGAAGGAGGGTTATTCTTCGAGCTGCCAATCGATGGACTGGGTTTGACATGACCACTACTGGAGGCCGGTTGTTCAACAGCGACACCTGACACATGAACAGAATCTGGACCTTTTGAGAGATCTACATGGAATTGGGCTTGTGGATTCTGAATTGGACTTGACGGATTTTCGGCGTTACGGTCGCTTTCAGGATGATCGTAGAGCGGCGGGGATGAGCGAGACATTCGTTGAGCATTGCGAAGCAGTCCTTGGTTCATATCGTCGCCTAGGGGTCCCCGTCGAGTTGATCCGGCAAGACTGGACGCATCGTCCTGAGGACCCCGGGAATGGGATCTCAAGGATGCATTGTCCCCAAGAAATGAGGTTGCGTGTCGATACTTGTCGTCATCGCCGATCATAGATCTTGATAAAGACTGCAAAGATTCTCGCGAATTGTGTAGTCCAGGCGGGAGGAGGTATGGACTTGGCCCTATGTCTAGGGACACTCCCTTGGCATGGGCACCATTAGTCTTCTCGGCTTGTTGCATGGGTTTCGTCCCGGTGGGTGTCAGGTCTAAGCCGAAATCGAGAGATTTATGCTTGTCGTTGGCATCCTCGTTTCGAAGCTTTTTCACGTTCTTGCGGTGGAAGTAAAGCAGGACCGCGATAGCACACACGACGGGGATCCTGAACACCCATTAGCCATAAATGCACCAAGCGTACGACACACCGAATGGAATCATTGTTTTAGCCTCATCGCATCGGGTCAGGAAGAAGAATCAATCGAAGACATACACTACACCGAGGACAACCGGCAAGGTTGTGGTCATCATTGTGCTCGTGCTTTTTTCACAGCTGTTACCACCACAAGTTGAGGTCGCAGTGGTAGTAGCGACAGACGGTGCAGGGTCTCTTCTTAGCAAAGTTGGTGCGGGAGAAGCAGCAAGGAAGCGAAGACGATCGCGAGGCACAATGTCCGGCCGTCGTGACAACACATCTCTCCCAAGATGCGTGCCCCGGAAGGCCCTGTGCTGATGTTGATGAGTTTGGTGGTACATGGGTCAACCCGACACTAGCGGGCAGCGATCCTGAGAATTGACCCCCTGAAGGTCAAGAGGCTGTTGTCTAGAATGCGGCGGTGCTGGCGTTGCAGTAAGATAAAAGCGAGAGATGTCCTCAGCTAGATGATCTGATAGGACATGGGCTTCCGACAATATAGGAACGTGGCCACGTAACACCCTGGATACAGGTGTGAAGATCGATGGATTTGGAGACTGTAGAGTAAATATGGTCCGTATTCGGTTCCGAATGAATGAGGACAATGGCGCGGGACAGGTTTCGAACAAGGAGTGGACAGGAACCAAGATAGGCTCCCAGTAATGAATGGCAGCCGAGTGCCCAAGCACCAGCAAAAGAACGGCAGTACAGTCCCCAGGACGGTACTTGGGGAGAGGGGAAAAGGGAGGTGAGGGTGGAGAGGGGGAGGGAGGCAACTAAATGTAGAAAAAGAACGACATGAAGCACCCAGCCAAGAAAGAAAAGAACGAGGTTAGAAAGAGGAGAAAGAAGGGAAAGAGGAAGAAGAAGAAAAGGAGAGGAGAGGAAAAGAAGAAGAAGAAGAAGCAGCCGAGAAGTGACAACGGCAGGGGAGACAGAAAAGAGCAGGGCAGAGAGCACAGTGGAAAGGCGCGAGTAAGCCGATTGTCGTATGGAGACTTTTTTAGTCTAGGTACTCCGTAGTTACCTATTAGACTAGACTACGACACATAGGTACTAGGGACTCTACTAGGTGAGTACTAGCGGTCTAGATGACCCGTTTCATTTTCCAGTCATTTTGTCAGGTTCAGGTACTAACCAATTGTGGGGAGGGGAGGGGAGGGGGGCTGTGGGGAGATCACCGCATCCATGTACAGTATCGTACCATGCCGAGATCAATTCCAGTCGGGTATGGGACAGAATTGCTTCACTTTGTTTTTTTAGTACAAGCATGGAGGGAGGGTTCTTATCCCGTATCATGAATAGCACTTACCGCTCCTGTCTATGCTTGTGCTGAATGTCCATCACCAGCTCAGAGGCATTGTCACTGCTGCGCAAGTTGTGGGTTAAATTCAACCTCTCCTATCTAAATTTCAAGGCGTCTTTGCCCGGTGCCACTTAGGACGCTAGCGTGAAAAAAAGTAGGTTGCCTTGGCCCTTGGTAGATAAGTAGAACTCGGGGCTAGAACTCTGGACACTTGACGGTCGAGAAGTTGCTCACCTATCTCCATCTCATGGGGCGAATTTCCTTCTCGAGTATGTACCCCCTTAGAAGACATTATCTCCTTCATCTTGAAATTCTATAAAGCGAGACCCATCAGTATCAGTAGCGTTGCGCGAGCCACTTACCCTTAGTTGATAATGTTTTATCTTGATTGCAGATTCAGGCATGGTTTCAAATCCTCTTCCCTGGCATCTAGTCTCGGAGGATAAAAATTAAAAGCAAGGATAAATAGATACAGATCTGGAAAAGGTACATATTACAGTATGATGTACGTATACGTACTCCGTGGATAGACCAGTTCTCCCCTGAGTGCGGCGCTGGTGCCGGGGAGGAGGGGGGTGGGGGGCGCATTCAGCCAACAATAACAACCTTCCAACTGAACAACTGTAGTTGCGCAACTGCAGGCAGAGCCGGGCGGTCGGTGGGGGTGGCTAATCTTATATTGGTTTAGTGTCAGGAACCCGCCCCCAGCTGAGCCCAATCATCAACCTTGGAAGGATTTCCCCCCACCTCCCTGAGGAAATTAGCCTCCACCCGCCATGAGAGCCAGACCGCGTTGGTCGACGGGGATTTGACATGGCAGATTCCAACCTTGAATGTATCCACCTAAGATGCTTCCAATTGCTGTCTGTAACCTCTGGTAGGTAAGGTACTACCTTATCCCAGATAGATTCCTTACTATGGACGATCCCTGTAGGTTGAGCATCCATGCTTGCTACATACCAGTACTACTAGTTAACTTACTAACTTAGGCAAGTTATAATTGCTTATAGGTATCTATACCGGTACTTTTTCTCTCGCTTCAAGGCTGGACTCGGGCAGGATCGTGGCTCCTATTTTGGGGAAATGATTCCTGGTCTCTACCTCTACTAATTGCTTCATGTTGATAAGAGGATCAGGAACGATCAATAGGACGCCTAGCATATAATAATCGATCGCATGCAAAGTACAGAGTAGTTGTACAGACAACAAGCATGTGCTAGGTTCTTCTGTACTATTCAACAATAATGCCAATAACAATAGCAGCAGCAGCTGCTGCTGATTGACTGGCTGTCATGTTGGACTGTAATTCATTACCAAGCTACGGAGTACTGTCTAACGATAGTATTCATTTTACTCTGTGATGGTAAATTCCAGGTCACCTGTACTATGTTTTGATTGTACAGTACAGTAGCTCCAACAAGGAGAATCACGCGTTAGCTTTATGCTAGCACTCCATCAACCTGTGGCCTAAACTCCCAATACACAGCCTGTGTTTTCCCCTTTCCTGGTTGTTTCGGATTTGTCCTAGCATACAATGCATGGCTTAGGCCATGATACTCGACCATGGAAGCGATCATCTATTTTTAAAATGAATTAAGCATTGTAAGGCATGATAGGCAGGTGAAAAACTGTGACAATGATGTAGTAGAGGAAGAATGAATTTCCCCTGAACCAGAGCACCTGCTATTTCCTGAACAAACTGCCCACCCTGAAACAGCTTCGAATCCTGTAGAGAGTAGCTGGTTCAAAGATACTCGGGGGTGGAAGACTGTTTCTTTGTCGCATGTTCGTCCTAGGTTCTAAGAGGGCTGAATTGAACTGTACGAAGCGTACCAAGCCGCCTTGATCTACTTATACCATGGCTTCTTGGTACATCGTAGAATTTGACTATTAGCTACTCTACAGTACCGTGGTTGCAGTCCTTCCGTCCTCTTTTCCAAGCCCCACGATCTTTCTACCCTCCCTTTGATGCCTGCCTTCTGATATCAGAGGCTTAGTGACGCAAAAGTACGGCCCTTCTTAACAGTTGTAATGACGGTACTATGCAATGTCATTGTGGTCTCCATTTGGAGACACAATGAATGGTAACTATGCCTTCTTCTAGATGCAATACCCCGTTCTTCCTCTTTCTTTTCTAAGATAAGATAGTAAGCCGCTCAGAACCGGATATCCGTACTCCCGCACAATGAAAGGCATGGAACAGAGATTGAAGGAGAGAAAAGTCCGTATGGAAGCTTAATGTCCGCTTCCAAATTAATAGCACATCATATGATCAGAAGGTGATCCCCACAAACAAACACTTCTCACGATTGTACAGGAGTGAGCCACTCAAAGTATAGAAGTACAGAAGATGTGCCTATGACCGGTACACAGACTGAACGCTTGGATATTCTTTGGAGCGGAAAGTCCTTGGAGAGGCTCAATCAATCGATAGGAGAAAGAGCGAGAGCTATCTAGGTAGTAAGGAGAATAGCTTCTATGTCAGATATCCTTTCTCACGTTAGCAGACATGCCGAAGAATTCATAAGTCTGATCAAGAAGTATGATTGCGTGGTAAGGCTGGAGTTGTGAATTGAAACAGCCAAATAGACATGTCTCATCCGGGCGGGGTGAGACAGGTTGCATCATCGTTATGAGGCCGATCGAAAATCCGACTAAATGGGGGATCTGACGGGTGTAATTCACTAGGTTCTGTGGCAACACCCTCGGCTCTGCGAATTTCTTCTTTCAGTGCACGGGTCACAACACCAGCGCGTACAACAAGATCCCGGAGAGACTGTGTATCGAAGGGTAGTTTTTTCGAGCGTGGAAGGTGGGAGTTGGGGATTGGAGAACCGTCTACGTTGCGCTGTTGATAGATCAGATCCAGCACACAATTTGGCTTTGTTGCGGCCTCTCTGTAATCCTGACTGGGAGCAGTGGTAGGGCGAGAAGTTGAGTTGTCCGAGAACGATAACCCCCAAGAGCCTCCACTGACTCGTTTCCACGGGTCATGCGAATTTGAAGAATCGCCTTCTGATTCATCAAAACTGAACGTGAGCGACGATGGTGATCCAGGCGGGGACTCGTGGTCGTCATCATCCAGCGTGGCTAGATTGACAATACCTTCTGCCTCTTTCCATAGCTCATTGGAGGAGCCCCGAACAAGATTGAGGAAGCTTCCCTGGTGCCGAAGGCGCTTAAGTTCTTCGACCAGCAATGTCAGCTCCTGAACCTGTCCGAACTGCCCATGGAGACTAGCTTGACGCTCCAGGATGGCTGGGGGAACAACCATGCCGCGGCGTGGAGGGTTCTTGTTCGGCTTCCTGACCTCGGTAGCTGGACCCTCCTCGGAATCTTCAAATTCGAAGTCGCTGTCCCAGTCTTCACTAACACCCTTGCTCCCCAGGCCCCACGTCCCGAACTTGCTACCTGATGTCTGGCGCTGTTCGATAATGGTTGTGGGATCTCTAGTTACTGGAACGCTCTGGCTCCGAAGGTGCAAAGTGCTCGGCGCCTTCCTCCCGGGTGCACGGCTGCCACGGGAGTCAGGCGTATGTTTCCCATGGACAGTCCGGGGCCGCCCGTCCGGTCCGGAACCCTCACGGTCGCTTCTGGGCTGCTCAGACCAGTCAAAGATATTCATCTTAGGAAAAGTATCAAGCACGTCATTATTGAGGCTGCGGTCATCCGATATCACCGACGACTGGGATTGGACCTTGGTACTCGAAGCCCCTGGGGAAAAAGAATCATTCAAAGGATACGGTCCGTTCGAGCTCATTCTCGTTGGGGGGGCGGTTGCAACGGATTCACTGGGCAGCGCAGCTAACAAACTGCGCGCATCTTCGTCATCTGTGAGATCAGACGGAAATGATATAGTGCTTTCTCCTTCGTGTAGGTCTGTTGGGACCGCAGTAACGAGGGATGGCATATTGGTGGGCGCTTGGGGAGCATCCATATCACAAATCCCTGACAGCGAGCGCAAGGTGTTGGGAACATACGTATTCAGCCCTGCACTCTTCGAGTGGTTCGTCTCCCCGGGAGTCACTCGAGGAGCGCCAAAGATGTTTTCAATTCCAGGCGCATAGAGACCCGGGTTGCTGCTGGTGGTCATATGGGTACGGATTGAATCGAACGCAGTATCGCTCAGGAAGTCTGATTCATCCTCATCGCCAGAAGTGAAAATGTTCGTCTCATCGGATCCGATCACCGTGGACGCAAGCTCTGATGCAGCTAGTGAATGACGCTTGGGCCGCTGGCGAGTTGAAGTTTG